CCTATAGGAAGGGGGGGAAGGGTAGCCGAGCGCGTAGCATGCCGGGAGTTGTAGTTTGTGCGCGCAGCCAGCGAGGCCCATAGAGCGGCTGCAATCATCATATTACTTTTATTTCACTTTCATTTATTTTTTTAATATTAAATTAATTTTGATACATCTATGTAGTCAATGTAATTTTAATTCTACATGGTCTTGCCTCCGCCCCCTCCTGTAATAAAGACCGGTCACTGAAGCTCTCTCTTCTTGTGCAGGGTGACTGGTCTTGCCTCTGCCCCCTCCTGTAACAAAGACCAATCACTGCTCCTCTCTCTCCTTGTGCAGGGTGACTGGTCTTGTCTCCGCCCCCTCCTGTAATAAAGACCGGTCACTGAAGCTCTCTCTTCTTGTGCAGGGTGACTGGTCTTGCCTCTGCCCCCTCCTGTAACAAAGACCAATCACTGCTCCTCTCTCTCCTTGTGCAGGGTGACTGGTCTTGTCTCCGCCCCCTCCTGTAATAAAGACCGGTCACTGAAGCTCTCTCTTCTTGTGCAGGGTGACTGGTCTTGCCTCTGCCCCCTCCTGTAACAAAGACCAATCACTGCTCCTCTCTCTCCTTGTGCAGGGTGACTGGTCTTGTCTCCGCCCCCTCCTGTAATAAAGACCGGTCACTGAAGCTCTCTCTTCTTGTGCAGGGTGACTGGTCTTGCCTCTGCCCCCTCCTGTAACAAAGACCAATCACTGCTCCTCTCTCTCCTTGTGCAGGGTGACTGGTCTTGTCTCCGCCCCCTCCTGTAATAAAGACCGGTCACTGAAGCTCTCTCTTCTTGTGCAGGGTGACTGGTCTTGCCTCTGCCCCCTCCTGTAACAAAGACCAATCACTGCTCCTCTCTCTCCTTGTGCAGGGTGACTGGTCTTGTCTCCGCCCCCTCCTGTAATAAAGACCGGTCACTGAAGCTCTCTCTTCTTGTGCAGGGTGACTGGTCTTGCCTCTGCCCCCTCCTGTAACAAAGACCAATCACTGCTCCTCTCTCTCCTTGTGCAGGGTGACTGGTCTTGTCTCCGCCCCCTCCTGTAATAAAGACCGCGCACTGCTGCTCTCTCTCCTTGTGCAGGGTGACTGGTCTTGTCTCCGCCCCCTCTAGTAATTTCCTGCAGGCGGGGTTTGTGTGTTTTTAGCTTGCTAGGCCCCTCCCACAGCTCTGCACAGGCTATGTGATGATCTTACTGCTACTTTTATGAGGGTTTGCATTCTATGGAGCGGTTCCATTTCCCGTCTGACATGATGGAAATAAGATCACATGACTCCGTTTATGGGGCCGGGCCGGCAGATGGATCCCCGGAGATGGTATAAAACGAAATGTTATCGTGACTTCCCCGAAATACTTTGGGGGAGTCTTCCTGGTTTCTGAGTCACATGTGGAGGAGAGCTGCTCATAAATGGTAAGGACCATATGGAAGAAATCCCTCCAGTGCAGCTATCCTTTCCTCGGTTACACACAGCTGTGCTACAAGTAGGTGGTGATGTATTTATACCTTCCCCGCTCCCTGTGCGCCGAGCTCACGTTACTGGGAGACGTCGCCCTAATTTTAGATACATTCCTGCGCTGCGGGATCATCCGTGGCGGCAGTCGGTGTCCTTCCTCATGGAATTCGAGATGAATGTTATACGAGCTGCCGATATTGTGCATCCGTAGGCTGAGAGGGACTCTAGGAGCACGAGGGGAGGCCACCGAAAAGTTATAGGTGGTGCCTGGTGGGCAGGGTCAGACCCCGGCATCATATGTGCCTTAGATCAGTGGTGGTCAACCTACAAGGTATAGGGGGGCTCAAATGCAGCCCATGAGGTCCCCAAAGGGCTCCATATAAAAGGTCCCCAAAGGGCTCCATATAAAGGTCTCCAAAGGGCTTCATATAATGGTCTCCAAAGGGCTTCATACAATTGTCTCCAAAGGGCCCCATATAAAAGGTCCCCAAAGGGCTCCATATAAAGGTCTCCAAAGGGCTTCATATAATGGTCTCCAAAGGGCCCATATAATGGTCTCCAAAGGGCTTCATACAATTGTCCCCAAAGGGCTCCATATAAAAGGGCTCCATATAAAGGTCTCCAAAAGGCTTCATATAATGGTCTCCAAAGGGCCCATATAATGGTCTCCAAAGGGCTTCATACAATTGTCTCCAAAGGGCCCCATATAATAGCCCCCAAAGGGCCCCATATAATAGCCCCCAAAGGTCTCCATATAATAGATCCCAAAGGTCTCCATATAATAGATCCCAAAGGTCTCCATATAATGGCCCCCAAAGGGCTCCATATAATGGCCCCCAAAGGGCTCCATATAATGGCCCCCAAAGGGCCCCATATAATGGCCCCCAAAGGGCTCCATATGCAGGCGATCACAGACTGAAGGATTACTAGATGAAATGGTCAGAGACTGTTCTACAGGCGTGATTGGAGCCTGAAGTCATGCTGTAGGAGACAGTCAGAGAGCCGAGGGACACGCTGCATGAAACCGCTAGAGAGTAAAATTGGCGGAGAGGGCAGCGCATTGAGGAACCTGGCCTTGGGGAAGCAGAGACAGTAAATCCGGCCCTGCGGATGACCTCTCTGACGGCGGGAAGTAAATCTGAGATTATAATCCGGAGGCGAAAGAACAGAAAAACAGCGACATGAGCAGAATGCAGAGCGCTGAAACATGTTATTATTATAAAAGAGGAAACAAATGTGCAGAATTGCCTGAGAAGGCGTCTGTGGGACCCGGGGAGGAGAGACCATCATACATCGAGTATCCTATTAAAAGGGCCAGTCCACTGATATTGCAGTTTTGGGTGGACGCTCCGGTCCTGGTGCCATTTGGGGCTTACCCAGTGAAGGGAAATGCCCTAAGGGCCTATGTGATAACAATAAAGTTAAGTGGAAAAAAAAAAGTGGAAAAAAAAAAATGTAAACTCCCACATGAAAAAGAATAAAAAAAAAAAACAAAAACACAAAATTTTTAAAAAAGTCCCTACCCATACATACACGCGTCCAAACATGCGTCGGGTGCGCCTACGTGCGAAAACGACGATTGCGCCCGTTACGCCGCACGTGTTACATATCGCCGCGCACGTCGCAGTGAGAGCGATCATTCCCGGCCCATCAATCGCCGATAACACTAAACTGATGAGCGGTAAAAGCTTTTAAAGCGTCGCCTATGGGCCAATTTTGGGTGCGGTCGTTTTCGGCGATCTTCGCAGGGCGCGCGCAATTGTAAAGCTTGACATGTTTGGTGTCTATTTACCCGACGTGACCCCCGACTTTTATATTTTACCCAAAAAATTGGGGTGATAATAAATGTTTTACAATATCATGAAAAAAAAAAACACCTTTTTTCCCCAAAAAAATGTTCAGTAATTTTTCCTTAATATAGTAAAAAATAACCCCCCCCCCCCCCCCACCCAAGTGGTGATTAAATATAAGAGAAGCTCGATGTGTCCCCCAAAAAAGGGTATAAAATTCATGTCAGTACAGCGTCGCATGACGGAATAAATGTCAGCCGAAGTACCGCAGCGCTGAATACTGAAAAAATGGCCGCCACAGGAAGGGGGTGTAACACCGCGGTTAGCAAGGGGTTAAAGAGGACCTGTCATCACTAAAACGCTATTAGAAGAAAAAAAAAGTGAAAAACACCTAAAAAAAAAAAAGTTTCCCCTGCGCACGCACACTTGTTAACGCAACGGCGCGTCGGTGTGTGTGTCTACGTTGCGAAAACGACGATCTGGCCACGCATGTTGGGTATCACCGCGTGCATGAGAGCAATAATTTCCGCAGCCCACGTCCGCCGATCTCCCCACACTGATGACGTGTGGCGAGCTTTCAATGCGCGAAAAAGATACCTTATCGCACTCCTTACCCAAACCCAAAATTGAGGGGGGGGGTGCTCGCAGTGACCGCGGATGGCGCCGCCACTCAGTACAAAGATAGATAGATGTCACCAGCACACCAACAATATCGAAGTCCAAAAAAGGTCGTTTATTGGAAGTTCATGCCACCAACACTGGCGCTTTCGGGGCCACGCAGGGTCCCTTTCATCAGGCTCAGCAATAACATTGCTGAGCCCGATGACTAATGTCATTGCTAATATTTATTATGTATGCCTATCATGTAATTGACTCATGTGAACAAATGGGAAAGGGGGGGAATGAATCTTTTCACGGACCCGGAATGCAGGCATTGGCCTCCTTAAATTGTTAAAGAAAATTAAATTGAAGATCTTCTTTTCTTCGGGATTAAGAAATCAGTGGTGGTGGTGGTTGGGAGCAAGAGGCACGGAGCTGGGTTCGTCTGTCTACAGTTAGCATGCAAAAATATATCTGACTCTAGGTCCATCTATTCATTTTGTACTGAGTGGCGGCGACATCCGCGGTCACTGCGAGCACCCCCTCATCCAATTTGTTTTTTTTTCCGGTAAGGAGTACGATAAGGTATCTTTTTCGTTTGTTCCTGAATATTGTTCTGACTCGCTGGCTGCCTAATTGTTTGAAGTCAGAAGTCCTCATCTGCATACTTGTTTTCAGGCGGTGACTGGAAGTATGGAAGAGGTTCTGTATGATAGACGGCTAGCTTTCTCATAAGGAAAGGTCAGTAATTGCAGCCTCCTGGGTTTCCCTGTTGACAGGTTTCCTTTAAGTCAGTTTTACTAATTTTACATTACAGTTTCACTTAAATATTTTTTTTTCCGATGCCTATCTGCATATCAAACCAAAAATAGAGACAGGGGAGTTGGGGTTCTTATGAGGGAATGTTGAGCATTATGTATATACGGTACATAACATCAGTCCCTAACATAACCCCAACCAGTCCTCTTAGGAGGGAGTCCTCTGCTTCCCCCCCCCCCCCCTCCCCCGAAAGCGCCAGTTTTGGTGACATGACGTTCCAATAAACAACCTTTTTTGGACTTCCACATTGTTGGTGTGCGAGCTTTCGATGCGTCGCCGCTGGAGAAACTTTGATCCACATGTGTTGGATCTGGTGATCTGTCCCGGCGAGCGCTGTGATTGGTGGATGACGCATCCTCCGGGGCATTGCTCTCATCATCCGCCTCTGCAAGCTTGTAAACGCCTGTTATGTGTATGTCTCAGCACGAATGCTGCTTCCCCACCCCGGGGTGGAGGGGGGGG